CCGCTGCCTCTCGCGAACGTCTCCGATGCCCCGGGGAAGGAGAAGCGAGTCCTGTCCCTCCCCCTTCCCGCGGCACGGGCCGGCAACGGGCTCCCCCGCTCCTCGCCCTCGAGGTAGGGCTCGGACAAGCACCTCGCCTCAGCCCCTCCGCGAAGCACAAAATAACGGCGGCGCGCTCCGGTCAATGTAAAACCATTTTTTATTTCTAAATCACTTTCACAACAGTGAAAATTAGTGAATGGTAATGGTAATGCACTAAACAAGCCATTATGGGCTGTGTTCAGTCCGAGTATGAGGGGTGAAGTGGTACGATACAAAAAGCACACCAAGAAAAAGGTAGGAACAAAAGCGTTAACACTTTTAGACTATTTCATTCTCGGATTGCCAGAAAATAAGGACTCGCAGTCACGTTTCTGCAGCCACCTCTCTCTAAATCCATTATGTCTCTCACCAATAGATGGAAAAAACCCCAAGCTGTTAAAATTATGTATTTTAAACATAAATGTTAGTTAAATCAGTTTCAATACCTCTTGAACCTATTACAGTCACCTTTCTGTCTTCTTTATTGGAAAAAGGCTTTCAAGGGATACCCTACTCCTCCCTGGATAACCGCTGCTCTTAGCATCGAGTTTCACAATACAAAAAGGGGCAGGAAAACCATCCCTTCTTCTGTCACATGAACTTTGCCTTTCCATCAGCAGGTGGTGCTGCCTGCTCATGAAAGGAAGTCAAAGCTGCGACATTGTACCACAGCCGGTTGCGTACAACAATGTAATAAACTGCCTTTCTCCTAGAAACGGTTCTAGTTACGAAGTTACACATTTGAGAATAACCATATGCAGAAGTTGTTAAGCTTCTCAAAAGTGCCACACAGCAGAAGTTGAAGCACCACTTCAACTATTTATAGTTGAGCAATATATTCTGCCATGTTATCATCAAGGCAGTATAAATTTGACTAGATGTGGCAAAACACTGCAGAAGGTTTGCAACATTCTACTTGCCAGATGGAATTTTGGAGGTAGGCAAGTTAACTTCAGTCATCCTCTGTCTTGATACTAAAAGTGAACAGTTTATACTTACATAAATAAGCTTCTACAACAATTAATTAAGGTGTCCTGCCCAGGAACCTCCTCCATAAGCTAGAAAAACCCTAGCTATTAAAACAAAGTTTCTAAGAGTTGATTTGTTTTGTCAGTTGTCTGCCTATTGCCAGGGAAGTCAAAATACTCATCTTGCAAGAAATCATTAAGACTATCAGCGATCTGAATCAAAATAATCTAAAAACAATAAAAGAAAAAAAATGGAATTGTCTAATCAGAGAAAGATGAACTCTTAATCTTGCTAGGGAATCTCTTGTATCTGCTGTTCTGAAGGAATCTACACAAATATGTCAGGAGTACTCTCTTTAAAGCTGTATACCCAACAGGATTCCAAAATGGCTACACAGAGTGCTCACCACCTGAAGTATTTTCCCCTCCGCACACAGATGGTCATGGTCTCCTCCAGCACTTCAAATTAATCTCTTTGGTAGATACTGCAGACTCTTGCACTACAGCCGCTGGGCTGTGGCACGGCGTGGCTGTACGCACCTGTAGAGAGAAGCTCTTCCAAATGCTCCCTACTGTGGCACGCGCTAGCAAAGGCGCAGGATCTCATTTTTCCTCCTGTATAATTTACCAGTACGACAAATTTAACCTCAAAAGTCACGTAAAGATGCCTTTTGTTCCTCTCCCCAAACAAGCTGATCCCAGATCTGTTATAGCGTTTTATTTGGAGTACATCACCTTGCGTAGAAAGTCTCGAAGCCTTGGGAAGAATAAACGTAGCTACAGTGACATGGTGGTGAGGGGATTATCCATGAGCGCAGCCACAGGCTGCTGCGCAGAACCGAGGAAGACAACACTGTTTTGTCAGTGAGGAACGGGGCTGGGTGAGGCAGACAGGTGTGTCGTACTGTTCGGCAACCCCACCCGGCTCCACAACGAGAGAATCTTCCAGTGTCTGGCTCCAGCAAATTCAGGCTTTAAAAAATTGCAGCATAAATTTGTATCCCTTCTTCTAACAGCCATTAGAACTGCTTCAGGAGGTGTTTTCCATCAGGCTGGGAAATAACAGCAAGAAAAGAAACCAGTCTCCAAACCTGGTTCCATTTGCACCATGTGCTGTGCCTAAAGAGTCTCGGCAGCGCTGCAGATGATTTCCTGAAGAAGGCTGGATGCTGAGGTGAAGACATTAAATAACATCCGCAGCTCTGGCAGATCCATCGTGGTTGCCCAGCATGAGATACTGACCACACTGCAGACATTGCCTTACCTGCCCACTCTACCGTGGGGCAACTGTCTTTCACATAAACCTGCTGTCACTGGTTGGCACCGGATTTCAAAGCAGCACTCCTTTTAGGAGTGGAGCTCAAAGCTAGGCCCGTGGTTTGTGGCAGGAACCTGTTGTACAAGATAGCTGAGCTGAAATACGCTTTTTAAACAGTGTTTAATTTCCAACTCTGGTGCAAAATGCAAGATTCCTCATTGTGCTGTGATACCACCAATTCCTGAAGCCCATAGTTAGCTACGGAACCAGACACCAAGAGGTTTAAAATGGGATGGGGATGCAGTTTGTAACTGTTTCAGTGGCCTTGTTTGCCATGAATATACAGGATAATGGAAAAGATTTATGCAATCAACAGCCAGAACATTATCACCAGAGCCACAAACAGGAAGAGGCGGGATAGGAACTGCTCATCCACATACTGAGGAGTCCCTGGAACAGCTGGAAAACAGGAAGTAAAAAAAAAAAACAACAAAAAAACAGTTCAGCTTCTTCCTCTTCTCCAGAGCCGTGTATATTCTGAACATAGCACATTCATAAATTGAAAGATATGCAAGGAATCTACTGGGTGAGAAACTGTTGCTATTTCCTACCTTCAGACTGGCCACCCCTACAGCAGGAAGACAAGCAGCAGCTCCCTGAAGCAGGACTCGCGGTAAACCTACTCATGACTAATAGCAGCCCCATGTGCTAAAGTACACGCAGGCCTGCTCAGAGCACCTCTGGGGCAGTGCTAGCCAAGGTCACTGCTTGGTTCACTGTTGACTGCCGAGCCAAGTTCACTGTTCCCATCCTAAGTACTTTACCACCTCCACCTGAGCGCTCCTCCCCGTCAAGGTGAGACATCTCTGAATTAGGAAATGGTAAAACAGTCAAAGCTGTGCGTGTAGCCTTGACCAAAAGAAGGAACAAAAAGCACATGAACTCTAAAGCTCAAGCCGTGCCTTTCTGGAACTGCTCTACTGAATCCACAGATGAAAAGCAGATAAAGGAGTTAGTTCAATTATGGCTGTTACAACAGCATGTATTTACGTACTCCTCAGCTCAGTCACACCTCCACACAAATTTTCAGTGGACGCTGAATATAGTTAATTGGCAACTTAATTTGACCCAAGGACAGCACAGGTCCTTGGCAACGCAGGTGTGACACGAAGAATGTGTTTCTGTTTCTTGTAACTCCCATGCCATATGCCATGGTGAAGAAGGTTTGCCAGGCACAGCCTCTCCCAGAGGAAGTCTAGAATATCCGGGGCAGTAGGTTTTCTGGTTCAGAAGAGATAGACTCAGTTTGTCTACCATGCAGATGGGGAGGAGGTTTTCTGGAGATTACTTTATTTTTAGAGAGCAAGGCCACTACTTGGAGTAACCCAACTGTTTTTTCTTAATTAAAAACAGTGGAATCACTTCACTAGAACGTTAATTCTTGGGGAATACGGATGACTGTCTCAGACATAAATTTCTGAAAACGAAACAATATTTACTGTCATTATTTTGTGATGCAAAGCACCAGTTTAAATTTTTCCTTCGCATCTTCCAGGAAATGGCCCTTTCCTGCTGTTTTCAAAATATGGGTCTCCTTCATACACCCCTACTGATTCCTTTTTATTATTATTAGAAACTCCAGTCCAATTTGCCTCATTTTTCAAAGTGAGTCTGCTGGAGTACCAGAGGAGACATTTGGATCAAAAGGGAGAAGTCACCAGTGCCACGGTCCATCTCCAGTTCTACCCTCCTCTCAGGGCTGCCTTCAGCAAATGTATGGAAGTGACAAACTTGCTCCTTACGTGAGCACCTGTACAAAACATGTACACCACAGACTGGGGTTGCTGCTGGGTGTTTTCCCCCCACTTTGTGTTTCTGTTTACAATGCTGATTTACTTTACTGTTCAGAAAGTTTTGTCATTTAGCAGGCTGTGTGCCTAAAAGTTACAAGGGAGTCTGTAAAACATCTCTTTGTGACAGGACTCTCGGAGACGGTGGGATGCATGGTACCTGGAGGAGGTCGCCCGTCGTTTATGTTGAATGCTGTTGCAAATATACCAAAGGGAAACGCTCCAATTCCAAATGACATTTGGAAGCCACCATCCCCAAACCCAAAGCCCTGGAATCCCTGCAGAGAACAAAGCAACAGAAGACAAAAAAGGTACCAATCATTTAAAGCCTATTTCAGAATATTTTGTAAAAGTGCAGACATTCCCTCTCACTGGCTTTCCTATGGCTGAAGGAGTATCGTGCTGCCTGGCAACTTTGGATCTGCCACACTATTGTTAAATACCTCCTTAGTTCTGGTTTTAAAATGTTTCACACAGTAGCAAACTTGCCAGAGCAACCCAAAAGTTTGAGAAAATTAAAACTAGGAACTGCAGCTCTTGCTTGAAGGCCACAAATTACAAAAGCATTTCTGTAACATTTCTCAACTTCAAATACTATGTATCTGACAATATATCAAATTCACCACTACCAATTCTATTTACAATGTCTTTACAATGTATTAATGATTCTGCATTAATAGCTCTTAGCCATATAACTATAAGAAAGGATTTGTAAAAAAATAATGTGCATTGATTTTCATGATACACGTGCATCTTTTAAACATTCAGTAAAGTGATAAATTGCTAGTGGGATGCATAGAGCATTATAGAGAAGAATAGTACCAAAAAAAAAAAAATTACCAGGGGGACTCTAATTAAGGTGGCAGATAAAGTCATCTGTCAAGACATAGGGAAAGGAGGAAAAAAGGAAGAGTTACAATGCAATAACACTGACCCCTATGGGATCCAGACTAAAATATCACATCAAGTCAAAAGATAAGTCTGAATCAAGGCAAATCCTACTGTATAAAAGCAGTGTACTGTTTGAGACCCAGCTGTGGAGGGATCTCAGTAGTTGCATCATGTTTAAAAACTGTGGAGCGCTCACAGTCACCGTGTTCTGTGATCCAGCAAACCGTCTTCTCGTCTGAGAATTAAAACAGGGATACCAATTCTGAAAGACCCTCTGGTCTATCGCCTCCAAACAGTGGGAGGACAAAGATGATTTCACTTCTATAATAAAAGCCAGACATTTCTGGGTTCACCCTTGATTTGAGGAGTCAAGTCTTTTGACTTATAACTCTTCTCGAGCATTTTGCCATCACCTATCAGGGACAGCAAAGCACGCTGCATGGCCGGTCCTGCACCTGTAGGAAACAGGAGGGCTGCATCACTACTGCTATGTGTTCATACCAGATTCCTCTGACTTACAGCAGCACCAGCTAAAAGGTTCAAACAAGGTAGAGCAGCTGATTTAATAAGAAGGCAACTCCCTAGCGAGAGAAAACAACTGAGCTCCCAATACATCCAATACAGAAATGTTCCTTAATCACACCCAGCAGAGTTGTTTGCTTGAAGCATGAGGTATACAAATGCCCTCCGAGGAGCCTAGGCTGAGTTACACGGAAATATGCAATTGTTTCATCAGGTCATGTTCGCTGCTATCGTGCTGGAGAACACTGTGGTCCGTGCTGCTGGCTGCTCCCACGTCTGTTCAACCTATGCCAGCTGCTGTTTACATTCACATGTATCCAACAGGCATCTACCTTCTTTTGCTTGTAATGCCATGGTACAGTAACATCCCATAGAAATGCTAAAGCAGGTGTCAGTGCCAAAAGAGTAAGTTCACACATGGATTATGTATTTCCACGACAGGTATAGTTTGACAGAAATATACTTCCACAAAGAATTTTCAAAGCAAAGTGTTCCTCGTGTTCATGTATTGAGAACGATCAAGTATGAAGAGTATTTCCAGTGATGCCACCCAGGGCTGTTTTCATGAAGCACAATTCAAGTTAGCCCATTCTTTGGGATGCTGAAGAGTACTACAGGAATGGAGTTTTCTGCCACACCATGGCTATCAATTATTCATGAATAAGCTACTGGGGATGAGCAAGAAATGTAAGCTATGGGATCATCACACAGGATCTCATGCACACATTATGTCCTCCAGGATAAATAAATACCACCATCAATAAAAACAACTTATCTGCTGAAGGTTGTTTTTTCACGTACCCCTCTGTTTTCCGGTTCAGGTCTCTGTCCTTGGGGCCGTGGGGGAGTTTTCTCTCTGCAGGAAGTCATGAAATTAGCTCAAGTGCAAGGATACATGACAAGAATATCTGCAATAGCCTGGCTAATAAAACAGAACAAACACAGAGCACGCTCTCACAGGGCCATGCTGCAGCAGAGCTGGAGGTAGTGTGTGAGCGAGTGGACCACCCAGCTTATGAATCTCCAGCAACATATGGCTGAGTCAAGATACTGAACTTTTAGGTAATAATAATCCCATTGCAAAGGCTAGAAACTGAGGACATGAACATTTTATATAAGCTTCTCCAGTCAGATAACATTCATTGCAACCTGCCTCTTGTAACTGATCATTAACACCGAATTCAAATGAAAATAAATTGCCAGTTGAACAAGAAATAAGGTGTGCAGACCCAGACCCTGAAAAAGCCAGAAATACTTACCAGAAATGTCAGTTCTATCTGTCTTTTGACAAAGTATTTCAGATTGTGAATCCAGCACTTCGATAGTTTCATCTTAAGACTCTAAACTAAAGTTTCATCTTAAGTTTTCACACAAAAATAGTTGTATTTAGGTTTCTTACCTGGGATCCTGTTGCCCAGTGCTACCTCTTCCATATAGAGGAATAACTTTATCTCGACTGATTCCTGCTTTGCATACAGGACACACTTGTCTGTTTGGCCTGGTCTCTAGCCACTAAAAGAAAGTAAATTATAAGAAAACTAGTAAAAGACCATGAAAACAACACGCAAACCTCACTTGCAGCCAGGCAGGAGACTTTAGCAATTTCTCAGAAAGCCATGGAGCAAAACATTTTGGTAAGTGCCAAGTAGTCTCCAAAGTAGAGCTGGCATTTTTGACTGTTGTTCTGGCATGATCCACTTGTTGATGTGTACACATTCAGAACTGCACTGGAGTAAAATATGAAGAAATAAACAGTACCAACAGTCCTGCGTAGGCAGAGGGCTAGTGTAGATACCCCCCTTTCAGTTACCTTTTCTGTAACAATACCACAATGTAAAACACTGCACACGCAAAGAGAAGGACGCTCAGCACTTAAGCCTGCAAACTAAACCCCTGTGAACTGCCTACAGTAATTCTCCTACCAAAACTGGGAATACTCAGTGTTTAATAAACTCAAAAGTGGGAGGCAAGTGGAACAGAATCTGTTTCCTTTTTGCTGAAAGAGCAGATTGCAAGGTGTTGTGCCTGAAGTTGCATTAGCACATTGCAGGTTGCCCTGGAGAGAAAGAAGCACGTTTGAAAAGAGGGGGATACTCCAGAGAACCAAGGGCTTTATTGAGTAACAGGAGCTGATGAAAGACACAGTAAAAGGAAACCTGTCTTACCTGGTGTAAACAAGGCCAACTGTGAGCATTCCCAGGACAATTTGTTCACAACGCAGAAAAAGGGAGAAAAATAGAGTTAGTTACTGACAACTCGATCCAACAAATGTGCAAATTGTACCATGGATAGCACAGCTTGGAGACAACAGAATCCTGGAATCCAGCTGGGCCAGTTCCATCACCTCCCATTAAAATCATTTTTCAAAGCACAGCCCAAGCCCGATCTCCACTGGTCTTTTCAGGTTATGCAATCTAAGTTGCTAACATGATTCTCTGCATATCACCTTTGATTTCTGGGTCCTCATCCATACCAGAGCCCCATGCAGAGGCTTAATTAATCTTAGTGTTTGCTGTACAGATTTTGTCTTCTGATACCATTAAAAGATATCCCTGAGCTAAGACGCAAATGAGGAAGATGTCAGTAATGAGACTCCAGGATCTTAACAGATGCAAGGGACATTCAGCTAAAACATCAGCCCCGTTCACGGAACTGTGGAATAATTCAGGCTGGACGGTACCTCAGGTGGCCTCTAGTCCAACCTGACACTCACAGCAGGGTCAGCTATTGAGATCAGACCCAGTTGCTCAGGGCAGAGAAATTCCCTTTATACAGAACTACTCTTAAGATTAAATTAATATGGCAACTTAAAAAGGTCAAAGACAAACAAGCAAGCTGCCAGATAAAACTGCTAAGCAGCCATCTGCTTTCAAAGTGGTCTTGACAACACTATTCAGACAAGATATATGATATTTTTTAAGGTTTCATTCTTCCAAACCCTTTTGTGCAATAAAGTAATCTAATTTTATCTTAACATGTCATCAGCAAGTGATTTTCCATTTCCTCCTAGAATAAAAACCTGGATTTTCAGATGTTACATACATTTACACAGAAAACAAATGTTCTAGGCCTCTTTTTATTAAAGAGCATAATTTAGCCTACTGTGTAAAATAAACCAAAAACCCCAAACATTTGGCCATGTCAATCCTTAATAACTCCTTAACATTTGAGAAAGAGTATGTTCTAGACCAAGTTATCCAAATAAGAAATGCTGCACGCTTATTATATTTGTGTGATACATTCCCAAGGCAGATCAAAGAACTGAAAAGTTAGTATTGCAACTGCAATACCACGAGAAGAGAGAAATAGCCCACAAGTAAAAGCTTGTTATCTATTTTCTCATGGTTTTACAGGAAAAAAGAGGAAGCTTGTAGGAAGTATGAAAACTACGATTTGGCCTCCAGAATCTAGTTTCAGATGCAAGTTTAGGTATGCACAGGCTGGAAAGGAATTTAGATCTGAACAAGTTATCTATGTTAGAGCAGACAGCACAAACAAAATAACATACATAACCAAGCAGTATCAATGAACACTGAACTGTCTGTGTGGGGCTGTTTGTTTGTTTGCTTTTACCAAATAATCCAAAAGTATAGGGAGTTTAAGACACAAGAAACCCACTCCCTGGAACATAAGCACAGAAAAACAGTTGAGGAACAAAACCAAACTGCTCCTTATCCATGGTCCTTACTCATTTTATACAGGACATTTTATTTGACATCTAGAATTATAAAAACCATAGGCTTTTATGTGATCAGAGAGACAGACCGTGTTCTGGTTTATCTGTGGAGGTTTGAGCACTTACCAGAAGAGATGTCCACACAAGCTGATAACTGCGTCCTTGGCAGTGTCTAAACAGATGTTACATTCAAAAGTGTTGTCCTGATTAGCACTCTCCCCAGCACCATTACTGTTACTACTGCCACTGGTCCCTCCAGTACTGGAGTTCTTTGTTGATGCAGAAGTCGTGGATCCTTTGCTTGCCATCCTCAAGAACTACCCAGACACAAGGTCAAGAAAATCTTCCTGTTGGAATCCTAGCAGTGAGAAAGGGGGAAAAAAAAAAAACAAACCACAAACAACTTCTTGGCATTGTAACATTGCATTCTTGTCCTGTTCCAAAGTGGTAGTGATTTATATAAGAAGCACTTGAATCCTATTGTTGATGGTTTTAGTTTAACATAGCCAAGAGGGATCTTTTTTTAGAAACTAAGCTACTTTAAAGTCCTGTAGTATGACCTGGCTAATGTGTGACCTGCTTTTTGAAGTTACTGATAAGCAACTGAGATCCACAGCCGAAACAAACCCACCGTTTTTTCTCATAAATGCCATTTGCCATGAGAAGAACGAGCTCACCCAGTCATATGTGCTCTTCCAAAAATTCAACACAAGTTGTAACTGAGAGCAGTCTGAAATAAGATTTAATCATGAAGCAATTCACAGTTTGGACAGACTGACTTAATGCATCGTTTTAAGTTCAATGTTTGTTAGTTTGGAATATGAATGATAATAATGGCAAACAAAGGTGGCTTAGTACTTGATTTGTCTCATCAGCAGTGTATTGGTGCTATTACAGCAGTGTGTTGATATGACTCAAACATTTCTAGTACTTTCAAACTATCAAGCATTTCTAATCTCATAGCAATGCAGAAGGACTAACAATTTTACTTTAATGTGCTTTAATTTTACTTAAACACTTTTGCTTCTCATTAACATCATATCTATCAAAGAATAAATTTATTTTATTTCTGTAGCAACAACCTCACCATCTACAAACTCCACGGTACCTAAAATTTTGAGATTCAGCACAAGGCATTTACATTTCCAGAAACGCTTTTACCTGTACAAGGTTTTTAACCTAAGAACTAAGAGAGTTTCAGCAGTTACAGAAAGTAATTCACCAAACTAAAAACGTTTAAAATATTCCACTGTGCTTTTCATGAAGCTCTGACATCATGTTGCTGCTGCAGGGATATGAATACTTAGATAAGGTTGTGAGAAAGAAACAGGTGATTATCTGAACTTTTTGCAAGTGTACAAAGAGTTATGCATTCTAAAAGGGCAACTTGAATTTTTCAGAAGCTCGTTTCTTTGCAGACTTACCCCACAAGCATTAAAGGCTTTCCTCAGTGGTCCCTTTGTAGCGGTGCTGAAGCACAGGTGCAGGGCACCAAAATAAAACCGCCGTATCCCTAGCTGTTATTGTCAACGGCTTTTTTCATACAACACAATCCCACTGCACGGTCAAACAAGCATCACACTCAAGCCTCCTGAAGGTATTGCAGCGCAGACACTCAGTTACAGCAAGTGAAATATATTTTTGCAGAGCTTTTTCTCTCAGTTACATCATTTCGCACAGTGTCCCAGAAGGGCAGCTTTGTATTCACAGATGCTGTACTCTAACGTACGTTGCTTTCAGCACCGCTGAGTCTTAGTATTTCACTCCCTGCCTTTATTTACACTCAGCAGCAACACAGTTCATTGTACAAAATTAAAATTCATGTTAGTTCAAGGCAGATGGAAAGCCTGCCAGCCCACTACGCTTGGATTTTTCACACATCCTTACTACCAGAATCTTCAGCCTATCTCACTCAGTAGTTTAACACTTGAAAACTTACCAATTTGGGTCCATATATATTTGCTGGGAATTAATATCAACATCAAGAGAACCTCCTTAAAACTCAGGAGTTCAACACATTGTAAAAACCACGGGCATCATTTTATGGAACGGGCACAAGAAACATCTGGCTCATATCTTGGCATATATAATGCAAGGAAAACATGTAGAAGAGGCAAATTCCTGTGTCACTAAAACCAATGTGAAAAAAAGGTCCTTTTTTCCAAATTACATTCCACATATTTAACACCAGAAATCTGGAGACTCATCAAAAAGATAAATTCTGTGTCTTCACAAACACCTACTTAAAAACCCCTTAGCTTTTAGTAACTACAAAAAATAAATAAATCATTAAGTTATGAAGAAGAATGACAGAGAAATCCACAGGAATATAGTAATGTAATGGAACAAAGGTGGCTGAGACGGAAGAAAATTCAAAATGATATCGTGCAACAGGCACTAAATCTACTCTCCTAGAAGAAGGTCATTCCTTAGTCTGTACTGGGATCCTCTCCTAATTATTTCTCCATAGACTGATTGGGCCTGACAACCTATTAGGATATAACCAATTTAAAATATCAAAAATACATCAAAATACAACAAAAAAAAGCATCAATCTTATGCTGAAAAGTCTTCTCAAACATTTGCTCTTGTCTGTGGAATACTGTTTAATGTAACTGGTTCTGTAACAAGTGCTGTTGGGGTCTGTTCATCTGCAAATCACGCTGCACATATACAAAGAAGCAAGCACGAAACAGCATCCAATGACTAAATTTATGTTTGATAATCATATATTGTGTCACTTGTAAGCATAGTCTGCGAATCCTAAAGTAGAAGTTCAATTGAAAATTCAACTTGTTCCAAGTGTAGAACAAGCTCAAAATTGTTGAAATGTCACTTGAAGTAATTAAACTCTGAGACAAAACTTTTTAGGGGGAAAAAAATGCATGAAACTGCAAGCAAACCACAAACTAAAGAAAACCAACCACCAACACAACAGGCCAAACCAAGCCCATTTTCATTTTGAGTTCAGAAGGAAGACTGTGAGTACGCTGGGATATAACGTGACTTTTGGGGTTAAGTAAACAGCATTTAGAGATGCCAGTCCAGGTTTGCTAAACTCTTGTCCTTTAGATCAGGTCTCCAAATCAACCCTAGACACATGATGAATAGCAAACAAAGCAAGTAAAAGGATATAAAAATCAGTGGTGATCTAACTGCAAGCATTCGAAGATTTTATCTTTTTTTCTTTCTTGCTTCTTTACTCTCTAGATATTTACAAGAAAACAGTATCTTTGCTACTTAAAAGCCATCTATATTAGCTGTTTATCTCCTTCAAATCATGGCCCCTATGATATCCCAACAGGTTGTTCTGAGAACGGCTGAATCACTGACATTTACTACATCCAAGAATCAAAAGCGGCAACAGATGAATGGTTAAGAAACAAAGAACCGATTTTCAAGCAGTCTACCTAAATAAAAAAAGTCTGATGGAGCGTGAAGAAGACACAGAAGTGAAGATACGTAGGTAGGGATCCAGCACAAATCCCACTGAGTTGCATAAAGAATAAGCACGGCTGAAAGAGCTGGTGAAACTGGAGCTCCAAGAAGCAGATGGCACACTGGAACCTGAAAGTTTCATGACAAGAGGGAGCACAGGAGGTCCATGAAAGAAGTGCAGTAAACCGGTAAGGTCTATGTGTTGTGCATAAATACTGTGTGTAAATCTCACTAACAGGCAGTAAGAAAGACATTTTACTCAAATACTTAAAAACTAAATCTGTAAATGTAGTGGGAGAAACGGCACAGCAGGAAAATGTGAGCCCAATGGCTACTGTAAAAGATCACATTTCTGAACTCAGCACATGAAAAATGACTGCACTTGCCAAAGTACACTGACCTGACTCTAAAAATACAAGAGAAACACTTCAAGACAGACTGGGAGAGTTTCCACCATAAGCAAAACCATACAAAAAAAAAATCCATCAGAAACACAGCAGGTGAACAATAATTCAACCTGAGAAAGTCAGAGAGGGAATATAAATTAGAAGCTAATGTCATCTGTATGAAGCAGTTGTAGAATACATGCTCACAGTACTGCAACATTAGGATGTTTGAAGTATTTACTTTTTAATCTTCTTTCAAGAGCAATCAGAAAAGTTTCTGGTGAGGATCTAGGACTCTGGCTAGTTTATTAATAAAACCAAAAGTTTATTCCTCTTTGCAACATCCAATACATAACAATGAAATAAAAAGAGCATTGTTGGATGTAAAATGCCACTAGAAAGACACTTTGCCATATATCTTCCCTAATGAATCTTATTTTATCTAGGATTACTGAAATTGAAACAATCCAAATCTAGTTTGTTTCTGAAACAAGTTCTGATTTAGTTTCTGCACTTCTTGCTGTTTAAACCAGAAGGAAAACTTGTCAGGTTATTTTTCTTATCACTACAGAGACAATGCCATTTTCAGACACATGGCAAATTTCATAAACATTATAAATTCTATCTAAAAATATTACTCAGATTTTATGTAAAGACACTCACTTGTAAGTTTAACAAAAATCCGATTCTTAACCTACTACGATTGCCTGGACTTCAAGTAAAACCTACAGGCAACCTTAGTTGATAATTGTTGACAGTGCCTAGAAGAAAGTACATTTACTTCTTCACAGTCATTTTTAGATATTCTTAGCAAACACAAGACTGAAGTCCTACTGTTAATCATTAAATACACATTTATCTCTCACTACCTTTTTACTGTCCCCCAAACGTGTTACACTTTAACACCTCAGAAACATTTTCTAAATTCATCTTTTCACCTCCTGTAACCTGTACAGCATCAGGTACCCACTTTTTAGTACTACCATAAAGTGGACCCAACATACAAGTTTGTGTGACTACTTGGTCTTGCAAAATCAGCCATTTGCCTCACAGACCAACGTGCCCTTGCTTGGCCTCATTTCATTAATTGGGATTCTGCAACATACGTCCGTGTTACAGTTGCTGCTTCCAGGATAAGAGCCCTGCTGAAGGGCTGTTTTGGCAACTCTTAAGGATTCAATACACCTCACAAATGCAAGACATTGTTACAAACTAACAAAAAAAAGCAGCAAGTGATTAAAGTAATTTTTTTTAACCATTCCGTAAAAGTATAATACAGACTCCAAAAAAATGTTGCACAAATCTTTAGAGCAGGATTTTATCCTCTTACCTCATCAAGTCCAAAGGAAAAAAAAAAAAAAAAAAAAGAAAATGGATATAACCAGTTGGGTAATACTGCCTGAGCATTTTCCTGGTTTGGAGAGTTACATAAAACATTAAATGCCCTTTAAGTGGGCTAACCAGGTTAGCAGCAAAACGTAAAA